TGAGGATCAGGAGGGTTTCAGAAATGAGCCCTGGCCGGTTTGGCTCAGCGGTTAGAGGGTTGGCCTGCGGTCTACAGAGACCCGGGTTCGGTTCCCGCTAAGGGCATGTACTTCGGCTGTAGTTTGTCCCCGGCCCTGGTCAGGTCGTGCGGGTGGCGGCCACTCGATGTTTCCCTTTCATGTCGATGTTTCTCTCTCTCTCTTCCTCTCTCTCCCTCCCACTCTATCTGAACAAAATATTGAAAAATGTCCTCGGGTGAGGATAAAAAAAAAAAAGAAATGAGAGCACTAGGTTCCGGATTCAATCACATTATTTCTAATTATGTATTTTAAAATATTTATATTTATTTATTTATTTATTTATTTACTATTGAATGTATTGGGGTGACATTGGTTAATAAAATTACACAGTTCTACAACACATCATCTGCACATTGTATTGTGTGTTCACAACCCCCAGTCAGCCTCCTTCCCTGACCATCTACCCAACTTTACCTGCTTCTGCCTTCCCCACCTCCTTCCCACTGGCAATCGTCATACTGCTGTGTATTTCTTTAAAAAATCCTCACCTGCAGATATTTTTTTATTTATCTTCAGATAGAGTGGGAGGGGGGAGAGAGAGAGAGAGAGAAACATAGATGTGAGAGAGACACATTGATTGGTTGCCTCCTACATGACCCCAACCAGGGCCAGCGACTAAACTGTAACTGAGGTACATGCCCTTGACCGGAATTGAACCTAAGACTCTTTAACCGCTGAGCCAAACTGGCCAGGGCCTGTTGTGTATTTTTAAAGTCTACAGAAATTTATAATTGAAGAGATGAGAATGTTTTGGTGACTAGAGTTGTTTCCTCTGGAACCAGGAGCAAGAACTGCTGGATGGTCTGTGTGGGCCTCTCATCTCGTGGGATAAATGTGAAAATGCATGTCAAGGTTTTTTCTTTTTCAGCTATTATTTAGTCAGAAGGGCAGACTGCGGCTGAAACACACAAGGAATAATGAGGTCAAGGTCGAGATGTCCACTGTAATTGTTGAAAGAATTCGGAGAATGTTGAGTTCTGTGAGGGTAGAAGTAATAGAAAAGTCTTCATGGGGGAAATAAGTTTGATTCTCAGATGATGTTTTAAACAGAATAATCAGTTCAAAGAACACATCAAGTTAGTTTTCTTTACCTGGCTTAATGTTTTTCCTGAAGATAAAAATAATGATTTCTGTTTTCAAAATCATAATTATGCCGAAGTTGTGATGACAGCAAAGATTTATAATTGGTATACAACTCTTTGAATTTTTGTTCATTTTGATTCTAAAATTAACTTCTATAAAGAGCCCTGTTGGAAGGGAGATCTTTTTAGAAACATTGCCTCTCTATTCCTTAATATGAAAAGTATGAATTTTTATTAGTTTGGACTGAATCGCAGTTTATTTTTGTTCGAGACTAAACACAAGTTTCGTAACAGTGCGTGCAGGACCTTTGCCAGTGGGCGGGTCGCGTGTCCTTCCCCAGACTCCGTCTGAAGTGCGGACCTGGTTTCCCTGACGACGCAGGGTTTCTGAGGCAGATGGGGACTGGCTGCTCCCTCCACGCGCACCCCTACCTGTGTGTCAGCCAAAGTACACGGGCCACTGCCCCTCCTGCAGGGCCAGCGTTCTGGTGGTGTACCCCCAATGTCTCCCACGCAGCAAGAGGCGGCTCGGGCTTTAAAGGACCTCAGAGAGTTGGGGGCAGTCCGACAGGAGGGCAGCTAAGTCCTGACAGTACCGTGAACTGGGTGGCGGCGTGAACTTAGCACACTCCGGTGCACGGGGGCAGAGCGGAGGTCTCGGGAGAGCCAGGTTCCGCGTCCCAGAGAAAGGGCGTCTGAGCTGGACGTTGACAGAGAGAATGTGCCAGGTGACGACTAGCCGGGGACAGGGCATGGAGGAGGGCGTTCTCGTCAGAGTCCCTGGGGAACAGTGAGCTGAGGAAGGCGAGACCTGGGCCCCGGAGGAGGGGTGTGGAGCTGCCTGGCCCTTAGGTAGCATCCAGGACTGTATCTCTCCACTCAAGATTTCCAGCTCATAGCTCTTATCAAGCTGAGCAATATGACAAATATCTTCTTATATAAGAATTAGCAAGCCTTAGAGTATAGAAATGTGAGTAGCCAGAGTACTCGCTGGGGACCTGTGAGACCATCTTGCTTCACCATCATTGTGTCTCTGTGAAGGTTGGCTTTTGTTCGACCTTCCTGCAAGAAAATGCTCAATGGGTCGCAAGTGACTAAATATCTTTTGAAAAAGATACATAACAAAAGAGGCAATTATTGCCAGAAACAAACAAACAAACAAAACCAAAACAATGAAGCAAAAACACCCAAATTATTGGACTTGCTTATTATCGTGGGTGCTTTCATCAAATCTGTATTATCGAAGGCTTTTAAGGTTAAGATGTTTAAATATTTCACCTAGATTTTGCTCTCCAGCCTTATTTGAAAAATGTGGTAATTTGTATGTTAATGTATTATTTATGTTAATATTACCCAGATGAGATTGGCTAACGCACCACTAGAAACCTAGTAAAGATCATCCTTGATTGCTTATGGAAATTTTTCTAGGACCTTGTCATGGCTGCATCTCCCGTTATAATTGAAAACCTTTTTTCTCACCTGCTTCCCCATTGGCCAGCCTCCGGGGAACTTGTAACTATGCAAATCCTTCTTTTTTGATACATACTTGGAAGCAGAAAAGGCCCTTTTGCATTTCATTCTTTCAGTTGAGCTTGTGCTACTTGGGAATCAGTGGGAAATAGAAATGGAGACTTCTGGGTGAACTAGCCTCTCTCTCTCTCTCTCTCTCTCTCAGAATTACCAGTTTCGTGCTAATAAATAATTTGACCTTTAAATTACTTTGCGCTTGTATATTAGCAGGAGTCTCATGGGTGTGTTAAGGGTGCTAAGAGGCTCCCACAAGTCCCTGGACAGGCAGGGAGCGAGGTCCTGTCTCCGAGGGGCCACATCCCACCAAGCACCAGGCCGTGGGATTGGGGTGGGGGTTGCAGGGAGAAAAATAAGGCAAAGATCTGAAAGACGCTTTCGAAAAGCATCTGGCTGGTACTGTTCCTGGGTTGGATATGAGGGGCAAAGGATAAAAAGAAATGAGAACCCCTCCATTCTAAAGTGCTTGACCAGGCCCAAGCAAGTCGTCAGTGTCAACACAGAGAGGCTGTTCTCATCCTAGTTTCTCTCATATTTTTCCCTCTTTCTTGATCCCTACTTCTTCAGGCATTGAAAAGGAATGAGAGAACAATCCCAACAAGTCACTTCCGTGAGAGGCTGAGTCACTGGGTGTGGCTGGCCTTTGCCCTGTTTGTACTAAGGAATGAAGTAACAGCAAGTTCAGTAAACAGCAGTTAGCCACTGTTCACTCTCTGCCTGCTCTTTGAGAGGCTGTCGGGCAGGGTGAGCGTGTCATTATATAGATTCTTCCACAGACTTCAGTGTAATTCACCTTCCTCTGCAGAGGGTGAAGAATGGGAGAGGGAGCGGAATCCAGACCTCCACCTTGGCACCCCCAGAAACACACCATTGGCAAAGCGTCACAGTTTTAGTTATTTATAAACTTATAAAATAATATGTACACATTGTAAAGTAATGATAACAATAGAGAAATACAGAATGTGAATGTCAAAGTAATTCATTTTCCTCTCAGTCTACCACGGGCCTTTGCCTGCATATATGTGTATGTAGACCTTGGGGAAACTTACTGTGTTCACTGCCGTGTCGACTGGGTGCTAAGCTGCACAGAATTTTGCATGTTTGCGTGGCCAGACTGCGCTCACTCTAAGCAAACTACTTCGCAAGCAGAGACTTGACTCAGGTTGCCTGTGGGTTCAGGTTCCGGCTGCCTCCCCTCCAGACCCTGCTTTCTCTCCTCTGTTTCCTCACCTGGAAATGACCGAGCGAGGGGACTTGTCAGTGCTCGGTGAGGATCCGATTACATGGGAAGCACAGCCTGAGTTCCGGGAGGTGGTGTGTGCACCCCTTAGCTTTAGTGTGGGGGAACTGACCAGGTCTTCGACGTCTGAGTACCAGGGGCTCCCTCTCTCTCCCGCGAGTCTCCAAGGAGCTGGGGCTCATTTCAATGTCTGAATCCAAGCCTCGCCTTCAGGATACTGTGCATCAATCACGCTGCTATCTTATGAAGGCTGCCTGGCTATTTTCTGTTTCTTTTGGAAACTCAGCTTTTGTCCCTGATAAATTTGGTCTTTCAGGCTTTTAACTTTCTGGTCCCCAGGCTTTGGGACAGGTTGGCAGAGAAAGTACAGATGAAAGATGTGTGGTAGGACCTGTGAGCAGAGATTGAATGTGTTTTTTTTTTTTTTATAAAGTGTGTCTTTACAATCATCTAAAGTCAAGAGTGGTCATGTGCTCACACACACAGACACTCATGCACACGCATGCACACACACTGACATACACAGAAACACATACATACATACAGACACACACACACAACTGACACACAGGCACACATGCACACCCACACATGCAGACACACAGTGACATACACACGTGAACACACAGATACATGCGCACACAGAGACACACACTGACATAGACAGAGACACACATGCACACACACAGGCATACATACACACATATGCACATGCATGCACACACAGACACACACTGACATGCACACAGACACACGTGCGCACACATGCACACAGGTACACACTGACACACACATGGACACACACAGACACATTGACATACACACAGGCACACACATACACACACACTGACATACACAGCTACACAGACACATTGATCTACACACTGACACACACAGACACACACACAGACACACTGACATACACACAGATACACACACGTGCGCGCACACACCCCACCAGGAATCTGCCTACACACATTCCAGGGAGTTCAAACACAGTGCTTCCAAAGGCCTTGGGATCGGGACTGGAGATTCCTTAATGAGTCGCCCCTTTGTGTCTCTCTCCACAGGGACTCACTGTGAGTTGTACAAGGACCCCTGCGCCAACATCAGCTGCCTGAACGGAGGCGCCTGTGACAGTGGAGGCCTCAATGGCACATGTGTCTGCACGCCAGGCTTCACAGGCAAGTGACCCAGGGACTGAGCTTCCAGATTTACCACAGACTCCCAGGGATGGCCCCTGTGAAAGGCCCAGCAACCTCTGCAGAATGTCAGGGGGTGTTGCTGAGATGCAGGTCTGTGCAGAACAGTCCCCTGTCCACCATTCAACCAGGCTCTCCCGAAATGGGCCTGGTACCTGGGCCTGCTGACCCAGCGGTGCTGTAGGGTCTGGCTGCGGCTTTGAAACACCGGGCATGAGCTGTTATGTGAACACACCTAAAAGGTCTGTGTCAGTGGGAGAAGGGGAAGGAGGGATCACGTGTGTCCTCTGTGGCAATGACATTCAGCCACCACATTTATTTTTATTGACAGATAGAGAAGTGACAGGGTTTTGAAAAATGCAGAGAAGGTGGTGATGGTGGGACGTACTGGGGTCGCTCCAGGTCCCGCGGTGATTGTCAGTGAAGGCAGATGCTCCAGGTGTGGGAGGGAAATGGCCCAGGAAAAAGCAGGTGGGGAGGACGAGGACAGGTTCAAGAGGAGCCTTGGTGGCCACGGAGCTCTGAGTAGGAAGAGTCATTTCTAGACTTGGGGGATCCACTCTAACCTGGGCTCCTTCTAAATCACTCCGTGTGGGCGTCCGGGAGCTTGTGAACCCCTAAAACAGATGTGAAATGTGTGAATGTGTATCTGCTGAGGGGGGGGCTCTCAAATCTTCATCAGTTTCTCAGAAGGAACCATGAACCTCGGGGGTAGAGGAGATTGCAGCGTTTGCTTTGCCAGCAGTTCTGAAGTAGAGAGCGCAGAGCGAGTCTAGTTTCCCGAGCTCTGCCCAACCAACAGAACACCAGAGTCACCCTGGTTTCTGCCCATAGAAGCAGATGGGTATTTAAGCTGGAGGAAAACATGTTGTCATTGGCCGGAGACCACCTTGGATGGTCACCTCTCCCCGGCTCAGCCACTGTGGCCACCTCCCAAGCCCTGGAGAACACCCCAGCGCCTGGGTCCCCAGTCCATCCCTGGGGAGTGTCATGTGCGCTGCCGAGGAAGATGCCAACAGTCAAGATGTGAGAGAAGGACCTTTTGATGGTTTTTGTATTTATCTGTGTCACATCCTGTATTTTCTCTTTTGGGTTTTCCTAGGATGGAGGAATGGGGTCACTCCAGAAAATCATTCACAGATGATTTTGTTTTGCTGACTGGCTTATAAACACATACAGATTTTTACACTCATCCATAGATGCAAAACTAATATTGGGGAAGAGTCCCATTTTTTTCAAGATATTTTTATCCCACAACTAATAAAAAGCATGGAAGAAAAATGAGAGAATATTGTGCTAGAGCTGGGACACAACCAGTGGTACCATCTTGATGGAGTCCGCAAGCATATTTAACATAAAAGGAAACATACACCCATACTACATTGTCACCTCCTTCTCGCTTAAAAAAGATGTGTAATGTAAATGTGTTTCCACATCAAGAAATATACTTCTGTTTTATCATTTTTACTGGTTCCCCTTTAGTCCATTATATGAAACATAATTTTTTTTTTAAAACTCACAATTCAGCTTTTTGGGGAGAGAACGTTTTGTTTTTTTTTTTTTTTTTGAGGACTTTTCCCTCTGATGATCAACATTGCAATGAATATTCTTGTATGTGCATTTTTGTGTACTTATGCGATTATTTCTTTGAACTAATTTAGCAGGAATGGGATCACAGGGTCCAGGAGATACGTATTTCCATACTGTTCTCTGGGAAAAAGCATTGCAATAATATTCGCTCCTACTAAGAACACACAGCCTCTATGTCCTGTCTTCATACAAGTCCTGGATCATCTTTCTGGTGGCCAACATGCCTTAAGTGTTGTTTGAATGTGTAGGTCTTTGATTCCTAGTGAGGTTGAATACTTTCAAACTACGTTGATGTTCATTGGTGTTTCTTCTTCTATAAACTTCCTACTCACGTTCATCTTCATTTTTGATTTGAAATAGTCTTTCATAATAAGTATACCACCTTTTTTCTGTGATAGTTACACATTTTCCCATTGTCATCTGCCTTTTAAATGTATATAAAGTGTTCGTTTTGATTTTCATATATCAGACTTAAATTTCTATAATTAAATCTTGATTTTTTTTTTTCTTGTTGTATGTTAGGAAGAGCCGATGTATCAAGATTTGATATATATTCTCCTATATCATTCCAATCATGTGTGAGTTAATTTGTGCGTATGAATGTTATATCTATTTGAAATTTGTCTTAGTATCTTATGGGAAACAAAAGGCACTCTCTTCTCCAGAATATGTAGTAAACCTCCAACAGCCCGCTCAGCTTTCGCTCTTGGCTTACCTCAAGACAACCCGAACTTACAGGTTTTCTTCTCCTTTCCTTCTTTTAAATATTTGCTGGCTCATTACGTGGTGTTACTGCCACCTCATGTTGCCCTGGACAGAAACTGGGGAATCAGTTGGTACCCTCCTCTTCTTCCCCTTACCTGCATCGGCTACTAAGGAGCCCTAGAACCCCCTAGACCCCCTCAGTTTTTTCTAGAGCTAACACCAGGCTACCTTTCACCTCCTGCCTGTACCAGGTCAGCCCCTTCCCACACCTATTCCCCTTCAACCCCAATGCATTCTCTACACAGTAGAGAAAATCTCGTCTTGTCGCTCCCTACTTAAAAATTGCCTGTTGGCATTTCGTTTTTTTAAAAATTATTTTTATTAATTTGTTTTTGTTGCAGATGTTTCTCCTTTTTCTCCCATTGACACCCTCCTCCCCATCCCTCTCACCCCTTCCCCAGCTTTGTTGTCTATGTTCATTGGTTATGCATACATGCTGTAAGTTCTGTGGTTTATCTCTTCCCTCCCAACCCCATTGTTTTTAAGAAAAAGGTCACAACCTTTAACTTAATCATCAAGACCTGAGTGGTCGGGCCCCATCTAGCCTTTCCAGTTTTGTACTGGGCCCCCCTACCTGCTTGATTCCTGAACAGCCCAGGGCCTCCTGGGTAATATTCTTCCCTCTGCTCCCCTACAGCCCATCCCCCTACCCTTAGGCAGTGCTTCTTGGTCCTCATTTGATCACAGGGAGGAGTAAGTAGGGCATTTCCACTGAAGTAGGTTCAAAATCACACTAATTGGTGTTTGAAAACAACAAATGCCAATTTCTATTCAGCCCTGGTAACCTTTTAAACTGTAGAAGACCATAGAATAGTTTCTAAAGTTGTTTGGAGAGCTGTGCTGTTGATGTATTTTACAGAAAACTGGTCCCATGAGACACTTCATGGAAAAAGCATCTATGGCCAAATAAACTTGGGACATGGTGCCTGCCCTGTGGAGATTCATAGGGGTGTCCACATACTAAAGGCTCTGAGAGGTCTTACAGTAAAGAATCTGATTTTCTTTTGTTTATTCCCCAACTGTATTTAATCATAGAACCTTCTTTCCCCCTTAAACAAAGAAGCTATTGTATTCTGAGAAGTAGTATGGTGTGGGGAGAAGCTGATAAACTACCTACCACCACTGAAAAACAACGGTGCCTCTGCTCTTTGAATTGCTACCTTGGAACCAAATACTGTTTCTTTATACCTGAGGTTTATCAGTACTTACTCTTGGCCAACTATTTAGTGCTCAGAAGCTCCCTCACTGATGGAGTGGAGTGAAGTGGGCAAATCACTGTCATATAATTAGATACTCAATCCAATATCACGTGCACCTTCCGAGGCTGGCTTTTTCAGTTTGGGTTTATGTTGCTCTACTCTTTCTAGGATCTTTCAATAGGACCTTTATGACCTAATTGTCCTCATTCCTAACGGATGTTTCTTGTGCTATAAATTATTTCCTCAATACTACTTTGGCTGTGTCCCACCCATTTTGTGTTGCATTTTCATTTTCTTCAATGTTTTTATTTGTTTGTTTGTTTCTAAATTCCTTTAAATTTTTCTCTTTGATCCATGGATTATCTGTAAGTGTGTTATATAGTTGGGGCTCCCTCTCCCCCTAACTGCACCTTTTGGTATTTCTAGCGTGCTGGCTTCTCCAGCACCTAGTGTGGAGTATTGGAGGCAAAGAGAAAACTCAGAGTGCTCACCGTATCATTCCTTGGGTCCTGAGGTTCCTAGCCAGTTTGTCTCCTCTTGACTTCTCAGCATCTTCTCATGTTTGTATTATATATAATGTCCTGGGTTTTTGCTTGCACTTAGTGGGAGGAACAGGGAAAATATTCCATCTTTCTGGAAGCAATGTTTTATCTTTTTTTCCACCACTCTGGCTGTTTTTAGAATTTTTCCTTTACTGCTGGCTTCTAGCACATTGATTATGATGTACCTTAATGTGATTTTGTTGGTGTTTATCCTATTTGGGGTGTGTTGCAGTTCTTGGATCTGGTTTTACAGTTTTCATAAAATTTGGAAAAATTTTTGTCACTTTTCCACCAAATATTATTTTATGCCTCTTCCCCCTGTCCTGGGACTCTTACTACATCTGTGTGAGACTTTAAAAAATTGTACAACAGGTCATTGAGTTTCTACTCATTTTTCCCTGAGCTTCATTTTGTCTAGCTTCTATCGCTCTGTTTTCAAGTTCACTAATCTTTTATTTTGCAGCATCTAATCTATTAATACCACTCTATATTATTTTGATTTTAATTTGACATTGCGTTTTTTTATATCTACAAGTTCTATTCAGTTTTCTATATCTTCCATTTTTACCCTTATTTGTTTTTTCATGTTTTTCTTTACATGTTTGAGCAAATTTCTTGTTTATTCACCATCATCTATTTCTTCCAAAGTTCTGTCTTCTGAACAGCCTTTTCTCCTGGTTATGGGTTATATGTGTCTGCTTCTTTGCATGTCTAAGAATTTTTTTTGAATGCTGGTCATTGTTAAGTTGTTGAATGATTGGATTTATTGCCTTTCTTTTCAAAGTGCTGGTTTTTTTTGTGTGGCAGATGGTAACTTACTTGCCTACCTGACTGATCCCTTCAAGGTTTATTTTTATATTTTAGGGGATGAGTCTAGAGTAGCTTTTACTCAGGGGTTAGTCCTACCCTACTGCTAAGGCAAACTCACTGGCTGATGGATAAAATGTCTGCACTCTGACTTGTGAAAGTAGGACTCCCTCTAGGTCCTCTGTGAGCTTTGGAAACTGTTCAACCTTCCTCGTGTTTGCTGGGCCCGCAGAGGTTCATTTACTCATTTGCAATATTCAGTAACACACTCAAGGGACACAGAATGTTTCTGGTGCTCTTTCTGAGTGGCTCTATCTTTTGTGGTAGTCTGTCCTGCAAATTACAGCGATTTTGGCCCCCACGAAACCCAGTTCTCCGCCGCTCCGTGAAACCATTGTGTTCTAAATTGGTTCCAGGCAGAAAGCCAGCTGCTCATGGTTCTCAGCTGTTTTGTTTCCCTTCTCTCAGCAGTCACAGTCATGCTCTGCCTGTTGTCCAATGTTTTGAAAGTGTTTTTTAAAAATACATATTTCATCCACTTGTCTAATTTTTTACAGTGGGAGAGCAAGACAAGTTCCAGTTTCCCCATCGTGGTAGAAAAAGTTCCACATACTTCACTTTAGCTCCATTTCATCTGGAATAAAATGCTTGTCAAGTATGAAGGCAGAGCGAAAGCCCCCAGTCCAGCGAGCGGCACATAGCAGTCATACATTTAATAGTAGGCATTACAATTATAATGATTTTCATTGATATCATTCAGGATGGGCTCTGTTAATCCAAGGATTTACTAACAGCAGTGTCTTTTGATTTTTAAAATTTTTTTATTGATTTTTAGAGAGAGGAAGGGAAAGGGAGAGAGAGAAACATCGATGAAAAAGAACAATGATTGGCTACCTCCTGCTTGCCCCTCACTGGGGATTTGGCCCACAACCTGGGCATGTGTCCTGACTAGGAATAGAACCAGCAGCCTCTTGGTGCATGGGCTGATGCTCAACCACTGAACCACACCAGGCAGACAGTGCCTTTTTATTTTTTAACCTTTTTGTAAAGTGTCTGAGGAAAGCATAGAGAATTAAACAATACACTTGTAAACTTGCATCAATGCTACCAAATTCGATACCTACTATACATGTTTCCTCTTAGAAAGTAGTAGATTGAAAACCAATTGAAAAGGTTTGCACTTGAGACTCTGATTTCCAGCCTTAGTCAAGTAGAAATTTCATTTTGCATTCTTTTTACAAATGTTATTCAAGCACAGCAGCAATTTAAAAGTAATTGATATTTCCCCAACTCAAATTTTTTTTAAAAAGTAAGCAAGTCAATGAAAAACTCATTGGCTCAAGCCTGCAGAAGCATCAAGATTTATTAAGTTAATTATGAGTAAAAAAGGATGATATAATATACGAAGAACTTTTCTAGTAAAATAAGCTGGAATCCATATTGCTTGAAGCTGGAAGGGTGGGGTGTTGAAATGCAATAAAAACTCATAATACTCTCAATATGGGAGAATGTAAATGAACCCAAACTTGCTCTTTGTAATTGGCAATAAGCATGGTCTCTCCAAGGCAGAGAAGAGTAGTCCTCTTTGGGAATCTTCTGGTTGAAATTTTTCTTGAGTGGCTCCATCATCGGAAGCATTCCATATTCTTATCCCCATCATGTGACGCAGTGAAGGCATCCAACAGAGAGCCAGCTGGGGGAGAATGGATTCGACTAGAAGCATAGCAGTGTTAGTCCACAAAATGGGCCGTTACACTACATCTAAAGGTCTCTGAGAACGTATGCCACTGCAGGGCTCTCCCAGAGCACGTACGCCGTGGAAATAGCTGCTGGCTCTTTGGGCCTCTGCCTGGCATGGAGTTTATATTCTTAACTAATGTCGTTTAATCCCCAGGATAGCTCTAAGAGCACTGTGGTGACGAAAGTCAGATTGGAATAGGTTTGGGACTCTCTCCGGGTTTTAGATATTTGATAAACGTCTGTAGAAAGAGTTCATCCTATTTTCTCCTGCCGTTCTCTGTACCTACCAAATCCTTTCTACCTATAGGGTCCCAAAACAGACAGATCTAGGGGTCTTGGGCTTCTCCTGACTGTATTAGAGGCCCCTAGAGATCCCAGAACCGATACACACCATGGGGTGGCTCTGGACCCTGAATTTGGCATTTACCACCCTGGGGAGCTCTGGACCAGAGCACGTGTGGATGGACTACATGCACAGCTCTGAGACTGCCCGTAGTTTAAGGACTCAGCAGGGAGAAATCAGGTCATTTCTGCTGCTATTGTTGCAAAGACCATAGAGCATCTTATTTCAGCATATGCGGGATTCCCACGGTCAGCTAAGGAAAGCTGTGGTTTAGTAAATTCCTCAATTCAGCTCGTCTTCCAAAATGGTTGGACAGTAATACTAATGTATATATTTGTCAGGCCTTGATTTAATCCTCTGAACACTTCGTAGTGTGTTCCTGTTTACGTCTCTTCAACTAGTCTACCATGTAATGCCGTTTGTAATAGTTCAATCTATACCCTTCCCACTTCGAGCGATTGCCCCATTAATAGAAAGACAGCCCTTGAAATAGGTTAGTAAGAGAAAATCAATTCCCTGTCTTTTCTATTGATGCAAACGACTATATTTACTGCAGGAACCAAATGCACTTAGACACCACTGAATTACTGTCAGCCTAGTAAAACCTAGAAGTAGTACATGTTTCATCGGACAAATTTCGCTTTAAAAATGGACGCGTCAGATGCCAGGTATGAAAAGAGTGTGAAACGAAACAGATGTGACATATTTTAGTGCGAGATTCCTTCTCTAAAGTGGTCTGTGGGTGACATATGGTGGTTTTATAAACAGGACGTAAACCAATAGCAGGCAGAAAAGCACTTCAATGCTAATTAAGTAAACCTGGAAGTAATTACTCAAGTGTACGCTGAAACATCGCCTTTTGAAATGGACACAATATTGATTTTGTTCTTTTACTGTAGTTTACGACTATAGTAGTGCTAGGAGGTTGGTTTTGTTGTTTTTTGTTTTTTATCCTCACCTGAGGACATTTTTTCATTTTTTGTTCATATAGAGCAGAGGGAGAGAGAGGAAGAGAGAGAGAGAGAAACATCGACGTGAAAGGGACACATCGAGTGGCTGCCACCCGCACCACCAACCAGGGCTGGGGACAAACTGCAACCGAGGTACATGCCCTTAGCAGGAACCAAACCCGGGTCTCTCTGGGCCTCAGACCGATGCTCTAACTGCTGAACCAAACTGGCCAGGGCATTTTTTTTTTTTTTAAATATTACTTTTTACATTTATCTAAGCAATTGGAGGCATATTTTAAAAAGGAATTTTTTTTTTTCTCATTTTCAAACTTTTAAGATCCAGGACCTCAATTTTAAGTATCCTTTTTTATTCAGCTTTGAGGAGATGCCTTTAAATTTCAGAAGCACCCCTATTTTGTGTCGACTTACCCTGTGGCATTCAATTCACAGGAAGATGGCTCTGTTCATGCAACTTCTAGTAACAAGCTGTCTCCTGTAGATTGGTATCTGAATTGCAGTGACATCTTCTGTGTTCTGGTTTGTAAGTTTAAACCAGGCACTCCCTGCGTGGGGCAAGGATGCCCCAAATGTTGGGTCTAGGCAGGGTCGAGACTCCGGGTCACAGTTTTCATTATGGACAAAGGATAGACTGGACTGGATGTGACATCCCTCAGGCCACCGCTTCCCGGGGACGATGATGTCCCGCTTGGGTCAACCCAGACTTCACAGTCATCTCTCTGTACGGCCTGACGCCCCTGTGAGCAGTTCAGCCCCTCCCGGGAGCATTGGCAGGGATTTGCAAAGGGGACACGTGTTCCATGATGGACTCAACCTAGGCACACGGCTGTGCCCTGGCGGCATCCAGAAAGCAGTTAAGGTCCAGCCTTACACTGAGACACGTGGCTGCAAAAAATCATCAGCTCTGAGTTTCCGGCTGTCGGCTTCAGAACAATAAGATTCAGCTGAGTAAATACAAAATAAAACAGTGTTCTTTAATGAAATTTGGAACCCAAATGTGCTCTCCTCATAGACTTTGGAAGGTTTGTTCAGACATGGGAATCGGCTTCAGCTAACTAGTGCAATAGATGAAAGAAAATTCTTTTTTCTTTTTTAGAAGTTTTATTCAAGTAGAAGTCCCCTGTCTGGAATCTGGGGAGGGTTCTGCACTTTACGCGAGCAGCAGATGGGGTTTCCTTGCTGGAGATCGTGACCCCAGGCTCCGCTCCGACAGGGAAGTGTGGGCGTCGGGGCTGCTGGTGCAGCCGAAGGTGTCACTGCCTCTTTCCTTTATCTCCGTAGGCGAAGAGTGCGACATTGATATCAACGAATGTGACAGCAACCCCTGCCACCACGCCGGCACCTGCCTGGACCAGCCCAATGGCTACACCTGCCACTGCCCACATGGCTGGGTGGGAGCCAACTGTGAAATCCGTAAGCATTTCCGCCCCTTGGTCACTGTGTTTAACTGCCCGTTCTCGTTCCCCGAGAGGGGGTGCTGACCGTGTTCAACCGGCTCCAGGTCGCTCGCAGAGGCAGTGAGGCCTGGGTGGCCCTGCCGTGCCACTTTGCTCACCGCAGTCTGCCGCTCCCACGCCCTCCTTCCCAGGGATGACACGCAGGTGTCACCCGGAGCTCAGTGCTGCTGAGACAGCCAAAATGCGCCCAGCAGACGTGCAGTAGGACCGGAGCTCCAAGTGGAGTGTCTGTGTTGAAAGCATAAAAAAAAAAAAAAACCTAAAGAACACACCGAGTGTAAATTCACTTTGCATTTATGTCTTCAAGAGTCTTCAAACCTATTAGGCTCCATCAGTTGCCTGGAGAAAGGTCCAGGGAGGATGGGCAGAAAGGAATCTGCAAAGCATTCTGAGCTGCTAAGTGCTCTCTAAGGATAAGCTAACAGAAGTTTGAAAATGCCACAATTAAGATTTTATACATTAAAATAGCGTGTCTAGGGGGATCGAGTGAAAATGAGAACTGACAAGGAATTGGGTTTTCCACCGGTTTGTAAACTGCTAAAATGGAACTTTGAAAAGCTGCTTTGTTCCTATTGAAATTAGTCAGGGCAGTTGGGTCTTTCATAAAAGCCCCTCCTGGGGCCTCTCACCCCCTCCCCTACTCAGCAGGTAAAGACAGCTCATCTGCTAGATGAGTTTGGAAGGGGGCAGATACTTATACTTAGTCCGTCTTTCTGCCTGTCTACCTGCCTGTCAGTCTTCCTCCTGAGCAGTCTGAAGTCCTCCAAGAACAACACCTGCACTGGTGGTCCGCACGACCTGTGGCTGGACAGCTGGTTCTTAGTGCGTGTCTGAGGTGGGGGGTGGGCGTGGGATCAGTGTTAGGAAACTTTGTCATTCACCGGTATGGACCACAATCTCCATCGTCAACTCGACCAATGGCGAAGGTCCCATCTGGGCTCTTACCCGCTCACCCGTTGTCTCTGCTCTTGGCTTAGAGTTTGAGAGGGAAAGAAGGTAATGATGTTTCGGCCTCTCCCTTAACCTTCTCAGATGCTCCTAAACAGAATGATCTTAAGACCAATTGTCCTTGCTGAAGTCGGGTGCGAAATACTCTTGATGAAGAAAGAAACAGAAAGGGGTTCCAATGGTGAACATTAAGGACGTTAAGGCTAAAGTTGGTGTAGGGTGTGAGGTCCAGCCCGGCGGGGTCTTTGCTGGAAGAGATCGCAGACCTGGGTCGGAAGGACCTTGCTTCTCACCCTGGCCGTGTACTTGTATGGCTGTGCTGAGTCTCAGTGTCCTGATCCATAAAATGGGACCAGTATTCATTCTGAAGTTGGGTAATTCTATGAAATGACAAATTTCTCAGCATAATATCTATTTATAGCTTTAAAATTGTAATTGTGAAGATAAATGTATAGGAGAGTATGAATAAGAAGTCAGGAACACACAGGATGCCCTCAAGAAGTTTTGAAGTAAAATCTTACAGTTACAAACAATCTAAATTTTACTTCCTCATAGTGATGGTAATATAGGCAGAACATTCACAAGTAATAAAAGGATAATGTTGGCTTCATATTCTAGCTCCATCCTCTTCTAGCTCCCTCCTATTCTAGCTCCATCCTATTCTGGCTCCCTCCTATTCTAGCTCCATCATATTCTAGCTCCCTCCTATTCTGGCTCCCTCCTATTCTAGCTCCATCATATTCTAGCTCCCTCCTATTCTGGCTCCCTCCTATTCTAGCTCCATCCTATTCTAGCTCCATCATATTCTAGCTCCCTCCTATTCTAGCTCCATCCTATTCTAGCTCCATCATATTCTAGCTCCCTCCTATTCTGGCTCCATCCTATTCTGGCTCCCTCCTATTCTAGCTCCCTCCTATTCTAGCTCCATCATATTCTAGCTCCCTCCTATTCTGGCTCCCTCCTATTCTAGCTCCATCCTATTCTGGCTCCCTCCTATTCTAGCTCCCTCCTATTCTGGCTCCCTCCTATTCTGGCTCCCTCCTATTCTGGCTCCCTCCTATTCTAGCTCCATCATATTCTAGCTCCATCATATTCTAGCTCCATCATATTCTAGCTCCATCCTATTCTGGCTCCTTCCTATTCTAGCTCCCTCCTATTCTGGCTCCATCCTATTCTGGCTCCCTCCTATTCTAGCTCCATCCTATTCTAGCTCCCTCCTATTCTGGCTCCATCCTATTCTGGCTCCCTCCTATTCTAGCTCCATCCTATTCTAGCTCCATCCTATTCTGGCTCCCTCCTATTCTAGCTCCATCCTATTCTGGCTCCCTCCTATTCTAGCTCCCTCCTATTCTGGCTCCCTCCTATTCTAGCTCCCTCCTATTCTAGCTCCCTCCTATTCTGGCTCCCTCCTATTCTAGCTCCATCCTATTCTAGCTCCATCATATTCTAGCTCCCTCCTATTCTGGCTCCATCCTATTCTGGCTCCCTCCTATTCTAGCTCCCTCCTATTCTGGCTCCCTCCTATTCTAGCTCCCTCCTATTCTAGCTCCATCATATTCTGGCTCCCTCCTATTCCTGCTCCATCATATTCTAGTCAAGTGAACAAAACAAATTTGCCTCTTGGAGCTTCATTTTTCTCACCTGCAAAATGGTGATAGGAAGGTTGCTGTGAGGATTAAAGGAGGTAAATATGTGCATATTTTTTGCTATGCAGTAGGTACTAGATAAATGCTAGTTACCCTTTCTCTTTAATTCCACACTATTGTACATCTTATACCACGAGGCTCTTCCTGGGGAGGATGCACCTTTGCAATTATCTTTTTGTTTTTCTTTTTATTGATTTTTAGAGAGAGAGAGAAAGGGAGAGGGGGAGAGATAGAAACATCGATGAGAGAGAACATCGACTGGTGGCCTCCCGCATGCCCCCCACTGGGGATTGGGCCCACAACCTGGGCTTGTGCCCTGAGCGGGAATCGAACCGGTGACCTCTTGGAGCATGAGTCAACGCTCAACCACAGAGCCACGCTGGCCGGACTGCAAGTATTTTTTTAGCCAATGTCTGTGCAGGACATGGGCCACCCTGAGCAGCCAAGGGAGATGGGGCCTGTCACACGTGTTGGTCCACACTTGGGTTCTTTGTTTGCCTAGAAGACCTCTTTCATTTGATGGTTTCATTTGCGTCTCTCTATTAAGCTGATGTGTTAAAATAAAATAAATGCCATCATAGATTAGGCTCTGCAGGTTCCAGTGTTGGGTGCTTCACCCTTGACCTGAGTGTAACAGTGGGGAACATGAGGGGGAGCTTTGCGATGACCTGTAGCCGGAGCCGGTGGCCGGTGTCTGCAGAACTGGATCGGCATCGAATGGAAGGGATCCAAGGACCGGAGTGCAAGCAGACTCTGGCTTGTCGGTGGGCAGAGAAGGTACAAGAGGCCTCTGGTCCTGGGTGAGCCGTGGATCCATGGAGGTCTCTGTCTAACCCTGAGCATCTGTGAGCTTCTGAAGTGGCCAGAAACCAAGAGGAGGGTGCCTGGGTGGTCCAAGTTCGGGTCGGTAGACCTCCACAGGAAAGCTCAGATATGCACGGGGCAGACGGGGCCGGGGCCCACACGGCTACATGGTCTGCACAGCTGCTGAGGTGTCCGAGGCGGTAAAGGAGCCTCCCTTAGCCTGACCTCTGCCTCCAGAGGTCATTTCGCCCACATCCCTTTCTTACTCCCTCTGCTTCAGCCACATGGTCCTGCTTTCTCTTCCTTGAACAGGTCAAGTTTCTTCTTTTTTTTTTAATCCTCACCCAAGGATATTTTTCCCTTTATCATCAGATAGAGTGGGGGGCAGGGAGAGAGAGAGAAACATCGATGTGAGAGCGACACATCGACTCATTGCCCCCCACACAACCCTACCAGGGCTGGAGAAAAACCACAACCAAGGTTCATACCCTTGGCCAGAAATGAACCCATGACTCATCCGTCCGCAGGCCGATGCTCTAACTGCTGAACCAAACCGGCCAGGGCCGAACAGTTAAGTTTATTCCTGCCGCCAGGGTCTTTGCCTTGCTGTTCCTTATGCCTGGGGCCGTCTTCCCTTGGATTTTAGCGCAGCATCTCCTTCCAGTATCCAGACCTCAGCTCGTTTCATGCACGTCTGGAATCAGGGTCCTCGCGGTGCCCTTCGCTGCACATGGACATGAGCCAGCCCCCCGCGGCCCGCACCGGGAGCCCCCACTGCAGTGGGATTGGCACGCGGACGAGTGCCGCGTTAGTGGTTCCACCCTGGTGCTCTGTCCTGTGCCGCGTTAGTGGTTCCACCCTGGTGCTCTGTCCTGTGCCGCGTTAGTGCTTCCACCCTGGTGCTCTGTCCTGTGCCGCGTTAGTGGTTCCACCCTGGTGCTCTGTCCTGTGCCGCGTTAGTGGTTCCACCCTGGTGCTCTGTCCTGTGCCGCGTTAGTGGTTCCACCCTGGTGCTCTGTCCTGTGCCGCGTTAGTGGTTCCACCCTGGTGCTCTGTCCTGTGCCGCGTTAGTGGTTCCACCCTGGTGCTCTGTCCTGTGCCGCGTTAGTGGTTCCACCCTGGTGCTCTGTCCTGTGCCGCGTTAGTGGTTCCACCCTGGTGCTCTGTCCTGTGCCGCGTTAGTGGTTCCACCCTGGTGCTCTGTCCTGTGCCGCGTTAGTGGTTCCACCCTGGTGCTCTGTCCTGTGCCGCGTTAGTGGTTCCACCCTGGTGCTCTGTCCTGTGCCGCGTTAGTGGTTCCACCCTGGTGCTCTGTCCTGTGCAGTGTGCACCTTGATAAGAAATGTTCCTTAGAAATTTGCTCCGCTGGAGATCTTTCTGGCACCCACCAGCCATAAGAAGCAGAAATCAAGCAGACCATACAGATTTATGAAAACCATCAACAAACTTGATCCAGAACCACATGGAAAGGACCATTGAAAGATCTCTGGTGCTCTAAACATATTCCGAGGCAAATGCAAACCCTAAATTTTGGAAATCAGCAAACAACCCTGGTGAAATTTTAATTCTCTGCCACTCATTCTTACAACCTTGGAACTGGTTACATTTATTTATTTATTTTTTGTGGGGGAGGGAGGGGGGATTTTTATGAAATTTTTGCCTTCCTGGAATCAAGGTCTAAAAATCAAAATTCCTATAAATTTTTACGTAGTGGTGTTTTGTATCATCTGTGTCGGAGCTGTGAGGCTCATACAGTTAGAGTTATAGTCAGTCTTGCTGACTGACAATCGGCCGATTGTAGACACTAAACAGTTGAACCTGTGGTTTTACTATTGAATTACTGATGTTCTGCAGGTGAGAAATGGGACCACAGGCTATCTTGGATTTATGCCTTCAATCAGTGAAACTGTTCAACGTGGAAGCATTTCACAAAAGACGAAACCTCAACCAAATTGAGTCTAAACCAAAACACAAGTGATCCCTCAGACTCATAAGCATGACATTTTCCCTGAACAGTGCGTGTGCATGTGTTCCCGGTGGTGCACCTGCTGGGGCTGCTGAGATCATCTCATCCAGCATGTGCTGCTGCACGCTTCTTCCCTGAGCCACACTGCAGCCATCACAGTAAATGATTCATGCAGTGGGGCTCCCAGGATGCATCGGAGCGATGACTTACGAGCACCGCTCCTGGACCGGGCGACGGCAGCTGCAGACACCTGGTGCAGACGTGTTTGCTGCCTCCCACACCACGCGTTGGATGTACTCCGACCCAGCCTGGCTACTAACCCTGTTAGCATCTAAAGCGGCCACGTCCACTTACCAGAGAAGTTTTCGATGAAGGGAAGGTGGGAAAAGCGAAGGGCCGGCAGGAAGAAGCGGAGGTTTTAGGAGAAATTTTGAGAAAGTTTTCCCCAAAGTCCAATCAGCTTGGAACGCAGAGTTTTTGGAAACAGAGCAGATGGTCAGAAACACAAGCAGCTTAGGCAGCTCATCAGGCCTGGGACAACGTGCCGAACACATAACCCAGGACAGTTGTGGTTCCACTGTAGTGGCCTTGCGGCTGTGCACGCCCTGTGTGTACACAGTTAATATGATGTGTGAGCTACTTATGTGGTTATGCATCGGCCATAAGATTTCATAACTCGTGTGGCCCTGCTGCAGCAATCAGATCTGAGCCCCACCAAGTTGGAGCCGAAAACGGTCCTGGCTGCCTTTGTGTTGATGCTAAATGGGTGTTAGAGCAGACTCTGTGAGTGTTGGACTCCAGCCTACCACTGAATTTTTCAGAGAATGTCGAAATACTTGGAAATCAAGTGAGTCACACTTCTCTTTCAGCCAGAAAAATGAGTTGTCTCTCTCAATGTGCACCAGGTAATGCCAAGTGCAATGACTGTCGATTTGGGGATTGAGTCTTGGTTCTAGTTTCACAAAATACCTTCTCTCTTCCATCACGACCGTTTGTTTGCGGTGATTTGTGTTGCTCCATCTGCCCGTGTGTGAGCTGGCACAGACGGAGCGGTGGCTGCAGGAATGGCCCGTCCCACCGCTCCACGGGCCTGTGCGCGAGGCAGGCAGCTCGAATGGCAGCGCTGGACTTGCAGCGAGAGTGCTGCTGAAAGCTCAGGGGTCAAGGGGTCTGCATGTGAACTCAGTGGTCACCACAGTTGCTCCGTTCCTCGCAAACTCTCAGGAGCCATCCAGGCCTGGGGCATGGGCCATTTTTCCACAAGGCTTCCAGGAAAGGGTCTGCGTGCGTGGATCCTAGGCTCTTCTGCAGACTGTAACTTCTCAGTGTAAAGAGGAGCTGATTGTCGGGTTCCGTGGTCACTGAAGGAGTTAAGATGAGGCTATGAGTGCAACAGGAGAAGAGTCCTGAGGATTTCCAGGGAAGACAGGTCCATTCCCACCCACCCGGAACCTGGAATCCCATTTCCAAGCACCAGAATCCGAATGTGGAAGTGATACCCTAGAGCGGGTGGTGAGCAGAGAAGCCACCCTCTTCCCACATGAGCTAACCTCTCTTGGCCTCGCCTAGTCCTGTTTCATTTTCACAGCTTTCTTTCAAATCCTGGTCACGTTATCCAGAGCCTTGCATTTGTGCAGCTCTGCGAACAGGACCTCTGCCAGACACAGAGATTCCAGCTCATCCTTCCGTTTCCCCCGTGCAGATAGGTTGGTGCTTTCTGGCCGGGCACAGGGCAGTGCTCGATAACCCTTAGCCCAGGGCATGGGCCTCAGAGCACACCGGCCACTTTTCTTTATCCTCTTGTCTTCCACCACCCAAGTGCTCCTCTGTGGGGACCCCCCACCATGTGCCCAGTAGTGTACTCTCTTTTTACATGTTTTCTAACAGATGCTCACAGCAAGCCCATTGGGTATATGTTGCTATTTTAATCTTATAAATGAGGAAACCGAGGCTCAGGGAGGTCAAGTAAAGGTTACAGCTGGAATTGGAAAGCAAGGTTGGTGTGATCCCAAGGCCCACACTCTTTGTACTAGTTGCACCTGAAGATAAATAATATCATGGGTGCTTTCTTCAAATAAGGTATTGCTTATTTTTAAATTTTTATAAAAGGAATACACGATATATTTTTTAAAAGCTAAAAAACTACTGAGATGTAGAAAGAAGAAAATAAAAATCACTAGTAACTCTGCCTTCCAGAGATCACTGTTGCCAGAACATTGCTGCGTGAGGCAGAGGCCAAGAACTTGGACCAAGGCTTGTGTTTGACAACTCGCCCGGGAAGTGACATCAGTTTCACAGGCCACATCTGTAAAGTGGGGCGCGAGAGAACAACCCATCTTCTGGTGGTTATAATGATGACATGAGATGTTCTCAAAGGGCTTAGTCCATAGTCAGAAAACAACAAATGTTCATCCTTATTGTCACTCTATTCTTCTGAGTTTTTCAGTGTGTAGACAGACATTTTAAGTGTACATGCACTTGTACTATGCGACTGGTCCTGCTTGGTAACTTTTCATTCTTTTGCTGTTTGGTGAGCATCTCTTATCTTCTCACTAAGAGTTGAATATTTATGTTGTTTCCCACCTTTTCACTTAAAAAAATTTCTTTTAGTGAGAGGAAAATGGAAAGAGAGAGAGAGAGAGAGAGAGCGAGAAAGAGAGAGAGAAACATTGATATAAGAGAGAAACATCAGTTGATTACCTCCTTCACAGGCAACCTGGGTATGTGCCCTGACCAGGAATCAAACCCTCCACCTTTTGCCGTGCAGGACAATGTTCCAACCATCTATGCCACACCAACCAGGACATCCTTTTCACTGTTATGAATTGTGTTGTATATTGTGGGATGAAGAGAGAGAATGGGAGTGGGGACTAGCTATATCTGTAATATGTTATTTCTTAAAAAAAAAAAAACTTGAAAAAAAACTCACTAAAGCAAAAATGGTAAAATATAAATATTTATTAACTTTGGTGAGTACATGAGTGTCTGGGTGTACTTTCTGAACATTTTTCTAAATGTGTAATTATTGATAATTCAACATTTAAAAATTATCATGCTGCGATGAACATCCTGGTACACAGGGCTCTGTGCACGTGTGGGACCAATTCCCTAGCATAAATTCTAAAAATAGGAACTTCTGGGTATAAAAACACAGCCTTTAGTCCATATAAGGGTTGTGTATCAATTTACATAGCCCCCATTTCTGTATCCTTGTCAACTTTGGTTATCAAATATGTTAAATAATGTTTGGGAACTAAGAGAGGAATTGGATTAAAAAAAATTATGAGGCTAAATAATTTTCTATATGTATTTCTATGGTGAATTCTTTTTACATACTTTGCCCATTTTTCTATGACATGTTCATGGCTTTTCTTAACGATTTGTAAGAGGTCCGTATATATTATGGATATTAGCCCTGAAAAATAAACCTTCCCAGTGTGGATAGCCCTTACATTTTTAGTTACTCGTGCAAAGATAGGAAAGACCTTCCCATGCTAAAGGCCACACTCGTTCCCAGCCATTTGCTTGTTTTCGCCTCAGATCTCCAGTGGAAGTCTGGGCACATGGCGGAGAGTCTCACCAACATGCCGCGGCACTCCCTCTACATCATCATCGGGGCCTTGTGTGTCGCCTTCATCCTGATGCTGATCATCCTGATCGTGGGCATTTGCCGCATCAGCCGCATCGAGTACCAGGGCTCTTCCAGACCGGCCTACGAGGAGTTCTACAACTGCCGCAGCATCGACAGCGAGTTCAGCAACGCCATCGCCTCCATCCGGCACGCCAGGTGCGCCGAGGGGCAGGAGGAAGGGGGCGGACAGGCTGCTTTTACACGTGCAATCTCGGGATGGGGGTATGTTGTAAACAGGACTTTACAACCCCACAGAGGGTTTCACAGAATAAAACCTGGGTCCAAGGTAATGTTGAACCTATTGAATATTGTTGGGGAACAGATAATGAGGCTGCTTTCTAAGTAAACCCCTTTGCATTGGCTGCTAACTTCCTGTTTTTGTTGGATACGTTCATCCACTCAGTTTGTGTTCATCTGTGCTATAAATACCGAATTCTTCATCGCTACATATGAAACATTTTTTATTGATTTCTTTTTGGAATGTGTTTAGCTCTGTTGCTCTTAATTTATATCTTGTAAATATAAATTATTTCATTTTATTTAAGGGATTACTTTAAAAATGACTAACAGCTATCACTTTGATGTTGGGAAACCTATGTGGAAAAATGATGGACAACTTCCCTTACCTGGTGAAGAAACCAGACATATAAGTCCAGGAGGTCCAGAGAGTCACAAACAAGATGAGACCAAGAGGCGCACACCAAGACACATCATCATCAAAATGCTAAAGGTTAAAGAAAGAGAGAGAATCTTAAAAGCAGCAAGAGAAAAGCAGTCAGTTACCTACAAGGCAATTACCATAAGATTTTCAGCTGATTTCTTAACAAAAACGTTGCAGGCCAGAAGGGATTGGTAAGAAATAGCCAAAGTGATGAAAAGCGAGAACCTACAACCAAGATTACTCTGCTCAGCAACAGCATCATTTTGAATCAAAGGCCAGATGAAAAGCTTCGCAGACAAGAAATCCTAAAAGAGTTCATCACCACCAAACCAGTATTACATAAAATGTTAAAGGGTCTTCTTTAAAGAGAAGAAGAAAAAAAAAAAAAGATAGAAAATATGAATAATAAAATGCCAATAAAAACATATCTATCAACAGTTAAATTTGAAAAATAAAATAAACAAGCAGAACAGAAGCAGACTTATAGATACAGAGAACATTCTGACGATTGCCGAATGGGAGGGAGGTTTGGAGGCCGGGTGGAAAAGGGGAAGGAAATAAGAACGAATTAGTAGTTACGGATTAGTCACAGGGATGCAAAGTACAGCACGGGAAATATAGTTAATAATATTGTAATAACTATGGTGTCAGATGGGTACTAGATTTATCAAGATGAGCACTTAATAAGCTACATAGTGTCCAATAACTGGGTTATGCACCTGAAATCTAATATAATATTGTATGTCAAATATAATTGAAAAAAAAATTAACGTGGTTTATATCACACAGAAGTGTCCTTTTCTGGAGGGAAGACTCAGAGAGAGACAAGGAGTTGGTGTGTTCTCCCAAAAGAGTGTGAGTGTAGGTATCTGAGGTAGTTCACGGAGCCCAACTACTCCATTACCTGGATTTTAGAACATTTAACCTTCCACAATACAGTTCCCTCAACTGTAGAAAGGAATAAATCTACCTCTTAAGAGAGTTATGGCAATCAAATTAAATTATAAATAATAAAGGATTGTGTAAACAGATAACACCATATTTACTTCTCCAGATCTATCACAACACTTGAAAGATCAGCTAATCTAACACTCTGTTGACTTTTGCAAAGAATATTTATCACAAAAAGGATGGCAATATCGTGTGTTAAGGAACACCGTCTTTCCTCTTAATTGGTAAAACACGGTAGAGCACACAATTCCGAAAGTCAGTGTGCCACAATAAAAAGTGGGCTGAGGTTGGCGTCATAAGATTGGGGCTCATGGGAACTCTTACCTGCATTGGTTGGGTTGTCATATATGGATACTGGTCAATATACAAGCAGATCCAAACTCTTTTGGAATGGCATAAAAGCTCAGACGTTCAGAAGGTTTGCTTTCTTCCGAAGGAAAACCTCAAACCCAACCCTCAGGTATTACAGCATTCTGCCCACTGTAGTGGAAGAAGAGCTGGACCCTGGCTCCGGACAGAGGAACCAGTGCAAGAGAAGTTGGGAGACACAGAGCATCTGCCCCGGTGTCTCAGTGGGGCAAAAGCAACTTCTCTGTGGGACCTGCACGAGCCTGACTTCTACAACTATGAGCCAGAAGAGTTCAACCCTCCCCCGATCAGGCCCTACACAGCTGCCCGTCATTGGCTTCTTCCTTTAAGACACCCCTGGGCAACACAGCTTCCGAGAAACCTTGAGACCAATCCCTGCAAATCTCATCTTAATTGTTTCTTTGCCTCCTTTTTCCATTACCTTGTGCATAAAGAGCAGTGGATTTTTTATTCCTTCATCTTCAGTGAGTCCTGGCATAGAGCGGACCTTACTAAGGTTTGGGGTCTTACTAAACTTGGGTCTGAAATGGATGGGTGACCTTGGTTACTGGTTGGATGGAGGATGCCTTCATCTGCCGGAGAGCTAGATTCGTCCCAGAACACCGGCGTGGCGAGCCGTGCCAGCCTGTAGGGGTCTTTGCAGTGTCCTGACGTCACTGGATGAAAGACAGAGGATGATAGAAGAGGAGGCCAGACAAGTTCATTTGTTGTTCAAGAGTTCCTGGAGGGGCTAGTTCACCAGGAAGGAGCAGAGCCACGACTCTATGCTGGGATGTACTAGAAAACCTGAGAAGTCAGATTTCCCTCCCTGAGAGGGATGTCTAGCTAAGGTCCTTTGCATTCAAAAGGAAGAATATTGTATTTCAGCCTCAGAATAGTTTAAAATAGATCCTTCTGGGCTTCCTGCTTATATATCCCACTGGGAAGATATTTACTCTTGGAAGAAAAGGATAAACTTGAAAGTGTTTACAAACCTGGTTCTTATTTGGTGCTGATTTTTATCGAAAATATTTACTGCAGAATTCCTAACCAGCAAGCTCCTACATGCACCAGTGACTGCAGATCAAGCCATTGAAGTTAAAACAGTACCTTCCCACATAGCTGGGAACGTTCCCATCTCAGGTCTGCTCAGTTCCAACCTGTGGTTTCTGCAGCGTGGCTCTCCGGAGGCCCGGGGCGGGTCTCTGGCTGCTTGGCCCCCTTTTCTCCCTTTTCCTGGAAACCTGAGAAAAGCATCGACAAAGCACAATACTTTTGATGTTACCCTCTTCCTAGTTTTCACCAGCGGCCTGGGCCTAATGTTCATTTCATGGCCTGTCTCCCCGCCGTTAGCTTGGAGGTGACATTGGACCAGAATGACCGCAACTCAGCAGCCACACAGGATGGAAATTGAGTGGGTCACCTGCGATGTTACGAGTGACTGAGGAAGTGTGGGGTGACCGTGATGGCAGCCATCAGTGGGTGCTGGTGCTGGGTGGAGAAGGAGCCCCTCTTGTCCAGAGTCGTTAGTTCTGTAGCTGTTTTGTTTACCTTCGGGTTGGAGAGAGTTTGTACCTGACTGGCGGGAGCGACGCCATCACTTCGAGTCCTGGACCGGAGGTCACCTCTGATGGCTCTCTGTTCCACCAGTGGTAAGCAGTGGTCACAGAAAACAACAGCGAGACAAAGGAGAGCCGTGAATGGACTCGGTCCCTTCTTCTCAAACAGCATCTCCTGACGTGGGCCTTTGGCAAGGTCAGGCGCACCTGACATTCTCTGCGGATGGTTCTAGCTGTGGGCTTTCAGGGGAATATGCACTCTGTGGCCCGCCTTGTAACTGGTGGCAGCATCTATGTTTGAGATGCAGTTCACATGGGTACGACATCCTGACTTCGGTGCTGCCCTGTTGGTTAACGTGGCCAGAACTGTGCCAAATCCTTTGTAGAGAGGGACTGTAGTCTTCACCCAGGGCCACTCGGTAGTACACTCTGTGGGCTGCACAAGGTCTAAGGGCTGGCTGTGCCTACTCAAACCTGCCTTTGTAGCAGCAGAGGCGTTACGGGTGGACACAACTGTGTTCCAATAAAACTTTATTTAAAAAAACAGGCAACAGGCTGCAACTGGCTTGCGGGCTGTAGTATGCTGACCCCTGGTCTTCATTATACTTTTCTATAGCATCACTTTTTTTCATATGATTAAAATTAATTAAATGAATATTATTGGTGTTACATCATTACCAATGTGCCTAGCTATTTTATGAGAAATAGTGTCCAAATACTTGCACTTTAAAGCACCCTCTGACATTTTCAGAGTTGGGAGAAAGCGTTAGGGGCCAGTTGGCTCTTACACAGGTCCCCCTTTTCTGAGTCCCAGGTTCTGCAGACCTCCCTCAGTTCAGCCCCACAGACCGCAGGCTGGACACATTGATGCGTGGACAGTCCCAGACTCCCGGCTTTGCATTTCAGACGGGATTTTATGGAAGGTTCCTCAGTGGCAGCATGCGTTAACTCTGTATCCCTTGCGTTTTGCCCGGTGCCCATCCGGTATGGTTTATGCCTTTGTGTCCCCGAAGACCAGCGAATCTAGAGAGAATGGCATACAAAATCGAAGGATAGTGAAAAGTCAAAGATCACAAGAAAAACATGTTTCTCATTTTCCACTTGATTCTGCTTTTTCTCCTTGCATGAGGAGACAGACTTTTCAAGATACCAAAGGGAGAACGAGGAAAAGGGGAGATGATATATAAGCCACAGGAAATAAGCCACTTGACGTCCGAGACTGCTCCTCCTAGCAACCTTTTAAAAAGTTCCGCTTCTTTTACAATTTCTTTTATAGCAGGCCCCCTTGGACTTGAAACAGTTAAAACATGTCTATAAAAGGCAGGGCGGGGGCGGGGGGGTGCTTAGTGTGGAAGGTTGTTTAAATCCCATCGCCCTCCAGGGGCTTGTGGGAAGGTGAGGTCCTACATGGGAAGAGACCACCCCGAAGTTGAATTGGCTTTATTGCAACAATCACCATCTCGACGCTGGTTTTTCAGGACATCCGGAAACTGGGTTTTGACACCCATGGCTTCTGCTCATCAGTCCCACTGTCAAGGAGATTTTGAAATATACATTATGGCTGTGTGCTCAGAGAAGAAACAAGGGTGTGTGTGTACAAGGGTGCTGGGGAGTCAGAGGTGGGTGGGATTGGATGGCACGTTTTAGGACAAACACCTTACTTGAAGCCATTTCCTCCCTTGTCCCTTCTCTTTGTCTTGGGACGACGTCGGAAGACCACGCAGCCCAACAGCCCTCCTGCAGGTGTCATGGAAGAGACTACCTGACACGGCCCAGGGAACACCACCCTGCCACTGGGCGCTCCAGGCTCTGGAGTGAAAGTAAAATAAACTCTCCTCTCCAAGTCCTTATGGGTCTCGGAAGAAACAAACAAATCAATATACATTCTTTTACATCCTACTGTAGGGCGGTCATGTCTGACTGCTTTGCCAAGACTTAACCTACAAGCTTCGACATTAATTCGGACTCTGAGTTTTGCGAAATCCACTTCTTGCCTCCTGCCCCGAAGGCTTAATATTTTTACTCATTCCGTGTTACTATGAGGAAGTCTTAAGTTTCTGTACAAGCTAGAGTATTTTAACATATTTTTATGGTTCCATTTGCTTCTTGAATATGAGATACTTTTAGCCTTTGCCTTTCTAGGTCTTGAGAGCCAATGTCTATCTCACCAGGGTGTTCTCTTCTTGTGATTTCAGGTTTGGAAAGAAATCCCGACCTGCGATGTATGATGTGACCCCCATTGCCTACGAGGACTACAGCCCCGATGACAAACCTTTGGTGACACTGATTAAAACAAAAGATTTGTAATCATTTTTTTTTTTTTTGGATTATTTTTCAAAAAGAGGGGATCCTACACTCATTTAAATATTTTTAAGAAAATAAAAAGCTTACGAAATTTAAAAGGTTAGCTGCTCAAGAGTTTTCAGTAGAATATTTAAGAACTAATTTTCTGCAGCTTTTAGTTTGGAAAACATATTTTAAACACAGAATTTGAAAAGTCCATAGACTACGTTTTAATGGACTTCCAGCTCTCTAAGCCCCGTGCTTTGACTAGCGTGTGGTCTTTTCATGGTAGACCCCCCATCACGACACCCAGATTAACGTCTGTGGTCGTTACTGAAATAGTCTCCCCCAGGAGAAGTTTCTAGTTGCTTTGTGAGTGCTGGCTTTCTGAGTAGAGTTAGGAAACACGTAGAGTATGACACGTACTGCAGTATGCCCGTGATTTAAAAAGAAGTCTGGAATGTTTGTTTTGTGAAAAAGAAACTAGTTACCTTTACTCTTCCTAACCCGAATGAAATTAGCCTCTGCCTTATCCTGTGCATGGGTAAGTAACTTATTTCTGCATTGTTTAGTGGAACCGTGCGGAAACATTCTTTTGAGTTTGTTTTGTCGTTTTTGTAACAGGTGTCAAGCTAGGCCTTGGAAATGTACGTTGTGGAAGGACCTAGGGAGGCAAATTACGATAGAATTGGATCTATGTTTTCTTTAAAAAAGTCAAGGTCTTTTTAATTGTGAGTAGATTAAATTTGCATTGGAGCTGTTCATTGCTAGGAGGTAGTAAATGTGAGAGGGTGCCAGCCCCTCCGTAGTGAGTATTTCTCTAAGTGCACCTTTATTTATACCCAGGACATTTTTGTGGCTGTATTTGATTGATATGTGCTTTTTCTGATTCTTGCTAATTTCAAAGAATATTGAATAAATGTTACCAAGTCAAGGAAGCACTTGCCTCTCGTTCTTTTAAAACAAAATTCAAACGTAATTTCAGGGGCTCAAACTCTCAGAAAAGAACAATGTCGTAATTGTGAGCCAGAGAGTATCCTGTCCTCATGACAATATGACAGGGAGGGATCTCCGAATCGGGGCAGAATGCTCCAGGCCAGAAGACTGCAAGGGGACCTTCACGGACATCTCCTCATGTGGACATGGGATAGAGTAGGCTTTTGCTAATTGCTTATCGACTTAATGAGTGAGTTAATGCATGAAACTGGAGTACTATGAATAATGAAAATGTTGCCTACATTTCCATGTCAATATTGTCTCTCTACACTTTAAAAATATATCCGCTCTTAAACAGTTGTATAAATAGGTACAAATGTACTCCACCGTTACACAAGATCCCATCAACACATGCAAACTTAGAACATAAAAATCACAACTGGAGTATGTCCTGAATCTACTCCATCTGAAGCTTCCATGTAAACTGTACAGCAGAGGAGGCATTTAGTTTATTTAGATCTTTGTTGGATTATGTGTAGTGCTCATGTTTCAGTAAAACACAATTCCTACCAATTTTTTTTTATTACTTGAGGTGTACAAAAAGATATAAACCATTTTGGATCTGACATTGATGGTCAGATAAACCATCCCCACATTTCTGTGGCTGCCAGAGCCATCGCTGGGCTTTTCGGAACCCTCCTGACCTCCTAATTGCCAGTGAACCATCCCTGCCTTCTCATAAATGTGAAGGATGGGGGGAAAGAACAAGAATTCTCATCTTAATTTTTTTTTAAAAATCCTCACCCGAGGGTATTTTCCCATGTGTCTTCAGATAGAGTGGGAAGGAGAGACAGGGAGAGAAAGGGAGAGAGAGAGAAACCTCGATGTGGGAGGAACACATCGACTGGCTGCCTCCCGCATGACCCCGGCCCTTTGAACTGCAACTGAGGTATGTGCCCTCGGCCACAATCGAACCCGAGACTCATTGGTTTGCAGACCGACGCTCTACCACTGAGCCAAAGTGGCCAGGACTCATCTTAGCATTTGCAGCAGATCCAGCGCGTGTGGCTGTTGCGGGACAGGGCAGTCCAGGGACGCCCCCGGCCCGATGGGATGCACCGCGTCTCCGCAAACCTCACAGGCCGCTGCCCTGCGCAGGTGAAGCGGAAAGCTCCTTAGCAACCACTGCTTGGTCCTTAGCAACCAGAAGGCAGCTTAGAGCTACCCCAGGTCTAATTCCATTTTGTATCTAAACTCTGGGCTGAGTCCCAGAGTCACTAATTAAAAAAAAAGAATCATTTTATCTTCACATGGCAACATTTGGTAAGGCCAAGAGAAGCCCAGAATCAGGGGCAAGGGAGGGTTTTAGGCAAAAAGCAGTGTTTAAGATTCTTTTCCTTCCCTTTCTTCCCTCTAAACATCTGCCCCTGATTCTACAAATGACATCGCAGCACACCCCCTCTCTTGTGATTAAACGGCACAGTGTGGACGTTAATATTTCTAGTGTAAGTGCTGGGAAGTGATCTAAGAGCAAAGTATGGGCTCGGCTGGCTGAGCATCCAGGGGGCACACCCGGACCTGGCTCCCCGCCGTCCTCCCGGCCGGACTGACGCTGGCTGCGTGGGGCACAGACTTGCCCTCGGTCCACAGGAGAGGGCCTGGCGCGGGGGTGCATGCTGAACACCGCTGTCTGGTTGACGCCTCCTCACACCCAGGACGGTGCCCTGCTGCTGCGTCGTCTCTTCTTACTGGTCTCCATCTGGAAGCTGCTTAGATCACACGCTCCGCAATCACTTTCGGTCGCCCCGATTCTTACATTCATTGTGTGTGCTGCCCCTGGAAGGACTCGTGTAGGAAACCGAACAGTCTTTTATCAGTCACGATTGGTCTTTTCAAAGCAAGTGAACGGCGTCTGCTACTTCAGGGTACGGGCGATGTGTCCGGTTTCCACAGTGTGAGCGCCGATCCTGGGAAAGATGCTGGCGGATTCACTTGGCCAGTCAAGGGTACTCCACCTCTCTGAGCTCTTGTTCTGCCTAGGGCGGTGGAGAGCACGAAAACCGCCCCCGAGGATCCCGGCTCCTGAGTTCACGGCTCGCTTTGACCCAGACCTTCACCTGATCACCACACAAATGAACGCAGAACGCGACCTGGAAGAGCGCGGGGAAGGAAGGCAAACGCAGCCCGGGCAGCCCGCGGCAGAGAGGATCGCAGTCTCACCGTAACCATGCACGTGCTCACAGCTTCGGACCAGGAACTGGGCCTGTGCATCCTCCTCTGGGAAACGGGGATGACGATGCTAGGGCCTCCCTTGGGGGGCCGGCGTGAGAATGAAAGGCAGACTTCATGAAAATCACTTAGCCTGTCTTCAGCACACAGGAAGCGTTGAGCATGTTAGCTACCATTGCTGTTTTCGTTCTTACTTTCTTTTTCATGGAATTTATTGGGGCGACGTTGGTTAATAAAATTTATAGGTTTCGGATATACAATGCTACAATCCATTATCTGTATATATTGTATTATGCATTCACCACCCCAAGTCAAGTCTCCTCCTATTGCTGCTTTGGTTTTCATTTTAGATACAGACTGTGTCACAAAGAAGGTAATTAGCTTGCCCGATGCTTCAAGGCTGTGATCACACTGCATTGTGGATGGAGGATGGGTTACTGGTCCTCAAACGTGGAGCACTTCCTCTGAGTGTGTCAGACACTCAGCTGTCTTGTTAAGTTGTTACTTTACATCGTTTGTGGGGAAAAAAAAAAACTTTTGATAAGCAAGGGTAAACTCCTTGGTTTATCTTGAAAACTCAGAATATACGGTCACATTGCTCATATTACCATGAAGTTGAAATGAAGCTGCCCCTTTTAGGTAATGGTCACAGTCTCCACCACCCCCTGTTGTCCGGCCGACACTAAGAATGAGTGTTTATTCCAGTTTCGTTGAGGCATAATCAGCATACGTCATGATGAGTTTCAGGGATCTAGCATAAAGGTTTGACTTAGATGTGTTATGAAATAACTACCACAATAAATTTAGTTAATACCCATCCTCTCATATAGGTGCAGTAACAAGAAGTAGAAAAGGCTGGCCAGGTGGCTCAGTTGGAGCTTTGTCCCATACACCAAAAGGTTGCAGGTTTGATTCCAAGTCAGGGCACATGCCTAGGTTGTGAGTTCCATCTCGGGTTGGAGCAGGAGGCAACTGATTGATGTTTCTCTCTCACATCATTGTTTTTCTCTCTCTTCCTTCGTCTCTCTCTAAACTCAATAAAAAAAAGGAAAAAGAAAAAATTTTTTTCTCCTGGCAATGAGATTTCTTAGGATCTACTGTCTTTTTGTTTGTTCATTGACTTTTTTGTTTGTTTGTTTAGATAGAATGGAAAGGAGGGAGGGAGAGAGAAAAACATTGATGTGAGAGAGACACATCAACTGGTTGCCTCCCTCATGACCAGAGCCAGGGATCAAACCTGCAACCCAGGTACATGCCCTTGACTGGGAGTCAAACCCATAGACCAAAGCCAATGCTCTAATCACTGAGAAAAATCAGCCAGGGTGGATTTACTGTCTTAACGTTTCTATATATCACACAGCAGTGGTAACTATAGTCATCGTGTTTTACATTATATCATTAGTTATTATAACTGGAAGGTTGTCCCTTTTGGCCACTTTCCTTCAATTTTTTCTTCCTCTACCCACCCATCTCTGGTAATCACTAATCTTATCTCTTTTCTATGAGTTTTGTTTCTTTTAGATTCCACATGTTAGTGCGATCATACAGTGTTTGTCTTTCTCTATCTGAAATACTTTACTTAGCCCAGGGTCCTCAAGTTCTACCTGAGTTATCATAAATGGCAGGATTCCCTCGTTTTTATGGCTGAATACTATTCCACTGTTTGTATATATACCACAACTTCTTTATCCATCCATCTATCGATAGATAGTTAGGTTGTTTCCATGTTTTGGCTATTGTGAATAATGCTGCTATGAACACAAGGATGCAGCTCTCTCTTTTTTTTTTTTAATCCTCGCTCGAGGATATTTTTCCATTTATTTTCAGAGTGGAAGGGAGAGAAAGAGAGAGAAAGAGACATCAATGTGAAAGAGACACATCAACTGGTTG